GGGAGCGCAAAGGGGGGGAAAAGTAACTTTTACGTTGTTTTACTGATGTCTGTTAAGGATTGCGAGTCAGGCTGCAGGGTCGGCGCTGCCGGCCGAGCGCGGTTTGTCTGCCCTGTGCGCTTCAGACCTTGACGGTAGCGCAGCTCGGCTGCTCGGTTTCACTCGCTGCACGTAGTGCTGCCGCTTCCCCGCGCGTGCAGCAGTGGTTTGGGAGCTTGTGAAACTGCTAGGAAATTGTGAATTAAAAATCACCTTAAATTTGAAGCTGTTATCCCTCAGCCGCCCCTTCCCAAGCCCGAGCCCGTGCAGGCCTGTGGCGTGTCCCCGTGCCCTGCAGTGGGGTGGCTCCGTGCTGTGGGAGCTGAGGCAGTTGGAGGTTAATTCACTCTTCCTCGAGAGTAGCGAAGATTGTGGCTGCTCCCTCTGATTTCACATAAGTTACCCATGGACAAACCTGGCTCATTTCGTGGGTCCTGAACCAGCCCCGCGCTCGGTATTCCTGGGCAAAACCCTCCGGGATCCGATGCTTGGCCGACGGGTGCATTGTGTCGTGATTTGACAAGCGTGTGTGTCACCTCCAGGCTCTGCTGATGGAGACCGCCAAGCTCAACCCCATCATCCGGGATGTCTACGGGGCTGCAGGTCGTGTCCAGCAAGCGCCGGCCGCTGCCTCAGCGCGCAGGAGCAGCAGCTGCCGCGAGCTCATGATCAAGCTGACGGAGGGGCAGTACGTGCTGTGCCGCTGGACCGATGGGCTCTATTACCTCGGAAAGATCAAAAGGGTAAGGTGGGCACCCAAAGCGTAGCTAGCGCCGTTCCCTGGGTTGGCTCATGGCTCAGAGGGGTGCTGGCCTGGGTTGCAACGCGTCTTTGGTCATCGGGGCATTTCAGTTTGACATTCTGCCCCTGGGTGTCACACCCCAAACCCGACTTCCCGCAGCCCCGAGAGGCAGGGCTGGTCACCAGGGAGAACAGGGAAGCGCTGGGAATGGAGCTGATGCTCGGCGGTTCTTCCCGCTCTCTCCCTGCAGGTGAGTGGCTCCAAGCAGAGCTGCCTTGTCACGTTTGAGGACAACTCCAAGTACTGGGTCCTCTGGAAGGACATCCAGCATGGTGAGTGCTGCCCATCCTCCTTTCCCACCCCTGGGCCAGGAGGGTCTTTCCTGGCACCGCGGAGAGGTGGCTGTGTCTCGCGCGCCTCCGACTCTGCCATCCCTGTCCCGCAGCCGGCATCCCCGGGGAGGAGCCCAAGTGTAACATCTGCCTGGGAAAGACGTCGGGCCCCATGAACGAAATCCTCATCTGCGGAAAGTGTGGGCTGGGTGAGTGTAGGGGCGTCGCCCTGGGGGTGAGGGTCTGGCCAGCCCAGCGGTGCTG